ACAGATATTAAATGGACCTTGTGGTGGGACTGTTTTGTCAGCAATAATGTTTTTCTCCATACACTGCAATCTTTCAGGAATATGTTTTATTATCATTTTAATACACTATGGAACTTCATTACCGTTACTATTACTGTTGTACAATTATTGCTTTTATCTTATATAATCTGAATGGCTTTACTCACAGACGGCTACAAACACAATCCTATTCTCTAGAAATATGACAATTTTTAATGTTAAAAAGCTTGATGCAAGACCTACAGGGAACGCATGTTCATTAATCTTTTTAAACACACATAAATCACCTCCATTCAACTTAGTTTCATTCCATTTTTCCCCCAGGCCCCACATGCAGTGGTTTTATGTTCCACCAGTGGGGTCCACTGCATAGTTTATGAGCACCGGCTTACTGTAAATGATCACAGAAAATGCCATATCTGAGAGTTTTGAGCAACATGTGAGGAATGTATTTTAGCTTCTACTTCAACATACACTAATACCCAGTGGATTTGACTATGCCAGTGCTCAGCTCTGGGACAAGTAAAAGATCATCTGCAAAAAACTACAGCCAGAATCTGACTGGAATGAAACGAGAGTGAGAGCGTATTTCTCCACAGTGAAGGTCTCTTTCCCGACTTTTGTTGGAATCTAGCCTTCATTTCAAGGCTAGTGATTGAGATTGGTTACATAACTTCCTGCAAACCTTGGAGCCACTCCAAACTGCATGATAATCACATTTATTGTAATATGTTTCTAATAATGGTGGTGCTGTTTTCAGCTGCTTTGGACCAGGGCCCTGAAAGAGTCTCCTCAGGAGTACATCTGCAGAGCATTTTAAAACCAAGAATACCTGCTTCACAAACATGAGATGTTTTTGCTTGTATATCAACAATGTGCTCCTGAAACGCCATGCTTTAATGATAGTGATGTACGTGTAATTCTTGTATAAAGATTCTCCATTTGACTGTTGAATAATCCTTCATAGTCATTCAGAGTAAACACAGCTGGAGCAGTGCTGATGTGCCCCATAAGGCACAAAAACAATGGGAACTGGTGATAGAACAAAGTGCTTATACAACTTCCTATCTACAGATACTGAAGTTCAAAATGTTCAGCATGGACACACAGACACACACTTACATAAGTTCCATAAACATACAAAAGGGTTTGGGATACCACTCTCATATCTATGGTAAACATGATGCTATAGCCAGCGACTGCTTAGCTTAGGTTAGCATAAA